GACGATATTTGTAAACCCTTTTCCAAGCGACATTTATCTCAAAAAGCCACAGTTGTGCCGACAGAAACTGCAAAAATGAATAAAAGAGGAATAAAGTCAAGAAGCACGCAATTTTTAGTTTTAACCTATTTGTAAATCGATCTTTTAGAGTCTAATACGTCAAATTTTGAGCGTTTGGTTGCGCGTACACCTCGCTGCAGCACAATAAAAGCACACAATTAAAGTGCTTTGGAAATCATTAAATTTGACACGGAACCACCAATATTTAAAAGACACACATTATATTATTATTCTCCTTTGATAAATTGATACATATTTTTTCCCCATCAATTTAAATGAGAATAATCAATGCAGAGTGTGCAAACATTTCAAAATCATGAGTTGAAAAACGCTGACTATGCGAGTATAAACGTTAAAGCCTAACAGAGCGGAGCGGCGTGCTGCCAGCGCGAGAGGCTCACTGGCGCCTACAAACCTACGTGGATACTTCACGCATTGCACAATGCTTGAAGTATCCACTTGGGTTTGTAGGCGCCAATGCGCGGCCGCCCGCCCGCCATGCGGCGGCGCCTGAAGCAACTATTTCACAACAGAGGTGTTGCAGAGTATCATACGAAATTGAACGTATTAAGAATGACAGGCATCCTTTAAAAGTACAGATCTTTCCTCGCAAAATAAATCAAGATACTTATCGTACACTGGAAAAATCTAAGAGCCTTTAGCGGAGGCAAATATAGAGGTTTATCCGGTTCAGGTGTAACAAGGTGGGAAAATCTTGAAAGATAATTAAATCCTGTTACACCAAAGAGGTGTAGAGAGTTTTAGTGAATTTTGTCTCATGGAATTGACGCTCCCCCATTTTTACCAAAACTCTCAACTATATATTATTCTGCGTTGGACCAAACAGACAAAACAAAAAAACAAGCAAACCCTCATCCTTCCAAGACATTTTACATTTTTATCAAAAAATGTCGTGAGCAATTGTCTTTTATATTTACATGTGGGCCAATTAACTTTGGGTCTCAACGGCACGTGGACCAAAACTCCCGTGCCGAAAAAACGCGTGGACGTAAATTACTGGAAAAAACAGGTGCGCGGACAAAAAATCGTTGACGAAATGTCCTATAACAGCTGAGCCGGACTAAAGTGTAGTCGATACTCGTCCTAGGTATATTTAAGCACGGTGGAAGGACCGACAAAATTCGGCCCCGTATATCAACCAGAATCACCGTCGTTGATCTGGTGGGGTGAGCATGGGGGAAGAAGGCTGTTAGGAAAATAGGTTCTTTAAAAATATTTCGATAAAATGATCAATAGGTGGCGCGCAAGTTGCTTGACGAAATTCACGATCGTAGTGAAAATAAGTAAAAGTTACTTTCGGAAGTCAACATTCAGATTCGCCTAAGAACGACTAAACAGGAGGCATGACCCTTTGGGCTGTAATTGAAATTCATAGGCAAAGCAATAGACAAACACTGAAAAATTTGAAATAAATTTGCCGCCAAGAAGTATTTTTTCTTAAATCAAGACTTTTGCTGCTTAATATAAACTACTTTTTTGCTTAATCCAAGCTTTACTTTACTTGTATCAAGAAAAATTCAGCTTAAACAAACAAAACCATTAAAAAACAAAACATAAAAAAAAACATTAAAAAAAAACATTATACATTACAAACATACATAAACATTAAACATTATAAACATTATTTGATAAAAAACATTATTGGCGGCAAATTCAAGAATCATCATGCTGAAGCCAAGCACTTTTTTTCTGTGAAGAAGGGAAATAAAGGAGCTATCCTATTGGTTGAAACGGATGGTTGTCGTAAACTAAGGGTGTAATTGATCGACTAACTATATAGTCCCTCGTGGTGGGTTGCCGTAAGTTACCCTTATCTCCTTTGTCTACTGCAACCACCCGCCTACACCAAGGATCACTCCATACTCCGTACGTCTTCTTTGTCTATCCCCTTGTCTATAAATTTCAATAATCACCCTACTGGGGAAATGACGAGGCCCGAGACAAGACAAGTGCGCGAAGTGCGCCCGTAATCTGATCCAATTAAGATGAGCCATCAATCAGGCGTGAGGAGAGGAGCCGCTCCATTAGGAGGACTTACTCCAAGTTCGCCTGAAATAATAGTAATCAATCATGACTCAGATTTTCGTCTGCTCGGTGCATTTCCCTCATCTCGTCCACGGGGCTTGGCCTCCGGGCACACGCGAAAGCCAGCTCAGCAGAAAGCTCAATCATCCTCGGTGAGCTAAAGTATGACCACAAGCTACCAGGCGAGACGTCAATGATCCATTATCGATGCTTCCCCATTTGAAGCTATGCTAAAGAATCGATTATTGAGGTGCTCGTTGCGAGCATCCTGTATATCGATCCTTTTCCATAGGTTTGAATGGCTTATCAATCCATGCATCGCAAAGCACGCCACGCCACTGGACACGATATACGTTGTGGTCGCTGTATGCGGACCGCGCAGATGGGAAATCTTCAAATCGGTTTCAGATTTTTCGTGTCAGATCAGATTGGCAATGTCGTACACAAGTGACACATCCAATTGAAAACATGGGAGGACAACATCGCACAAAAATCACGTTGAGTACATTAAACATGTATAAAATTTACTCCTCAACGCACTGAGCAATATAGTATAATTTTCTGCATAAATAGTAAAAAGTAAATTTTCTCAGAACCTCATTTTGCGGCACAACGTTATCAAATTCGGATGCTAGGAATTAGCTGGACTTCCGCTCTCTTTTTGTGCCGTGGTATCGGTATATTTTGCAAGGAAAGCTCCGTACTCTTGAAGGATGCTTGTTATTCTAATATGTTGGAGCGCCTTCAATTTCGCATTATACTGTGCAACACCTCTGTTGTGAAATAGTTGCTTGAGGCGCCGTGGCACACTGCGGCCGGCCAGCGCCTTCAAACCTAAGGGGATACTTCAAGCATTGCGCAATGCGTGAAGTATCCCCTTAGGTTTGAAGGCGCTGGCCGGCCGCAATGTGCCGCTCCACTCTGTGTTAGGCTCTAATATTTAAACTCGGAAAGTCAGTGTTGTTCAACTCATGATTTTGAAATGTTTGCACAGTCTACATGAATTATTCTCATTCAAATTGATGAAAAGAAAATATTTATTAAAGGAAACTATAATGTGTGCTTTGTAAATATTGAGGTGGTTCTGTGTCAAATTTGATGATTTCCAAAGCACTTTAATTTTCTCTTTTATATCTTGTGTCTTAATTGTGCTGCAGCGTGGTGTACGTGCAACCAAATGCTCAAAATTGGACGTATTTGATTCAAAAAGATTGATGTACAAGTGGGGTAAAACCAAAGATTTCGTGCTTCTCGGTTTTTTCCTCTTCTATCCATTTTTGTATAGTTTCTTTCAACACAACTACAGCTGATTGAGATTAATATCAATGCCATTGCTTGAAAAAGGTTTTTACAAATATTTGCCGCGTTTTAAAAAAATAAATGTTTTTAAAATGAAGCAATATTTTCATTAAAAAAAGAGTATAAATAAGGTATATTTTGTATAAAAAATTTCAATAATAGAAATAAAACAAAATATTCATCAATGACAATTTGATCTGATGAATCAAAAGAAGAAAGCAACATTCCATTTAAAATATGAGTTATCATAACAACACCTCCTTCTCTCTCAATTTTCTCATTTCAATATTGTCAATATAATTTTACATACGGACTAAAGTATGACGCTTGGACCAAATCACTGTTGCCTATTTTACCCGTGGACGTAAACTACTAGACAAAACAGGTGCGCGGACAAAAAATCGTTGACGGAATGTCCTGAAACCGTCTTTTCGACGTATCAAAATTAAAATAGAACTATCTTTACCGTGACATGGGTTCGTTCCATGCATATATTCTTAAGGAAGTCACAACGGAGATAGCTCTTTGAAAAAAAAAAAAAAAACCTCCATTTGTATAACAAGGCAATTTCTTCGTCGTTTACAACTAAACCAATGTCCGCGACGGCAAGCTCATTTCATATGAATTTAACTGCAGATTTATGACGGCACCCTTTCTCCCCCCCCCCCCCCCCCCNAACCTTGTGGTGGGCTCAATAAAAAATGTTCCCGCCGTGCTCGCACGGAGCACCAGTCGCCTGAGTCATGACAATCTTGCCGCTACTAATTAATGGACTCCATTACGCACGGATGAATTGCCCCAAGGAGGTTTCCTTCATTTAACGGTTAACGGCATCAATCTGAATTTTTACCAGCTGAAACCTTAAGCGGTTGACAGAGAATCAAGGTCGTCGTGAGGGTAAATTGTCACCCCCACAATTAATGAATTCGTCCACCCCCTCCCCAACCCATATGAATGAATGAAGGGAAAGAGAAGATGAACATGAAGTCAAAGCAAGAAATACCGAGGAAAAGAAGAAAAAGATGAAGGAATAAAATAAAAATAGAGGAAATTGAGGAGGGCGAGGAAGGAGAGGAAGACGAAGAAGATAATGAGGAAGGGGAGAAAGAAAAGATCGAAGATAGAGAAGAAAAAAAGAAGGAGAGGTGGCAAAATAGAAGAAAAAATGAAGAAAAAATGTGAGGGAGAAAATTAAGGAAAGGAGACAGAGGGAGAGGAGGAGGAACTTTTAGAAAAAGAAAAGGAAGAAAGAGAGGAAGTGGAGGAAAAAGAGAGATAGGAAGAAGAGGAAGAAGAGAGAAGGGGAAAAGGAGAAAGAGGAGATATAGGAAGAGGAAAAATAGGAAGAAGAGGGAAAGAGGGAAGAAGGGAAGGAGGAAAAAGAGGAAGAAGAGGGGGTGTAAAGAAGTAGAGGAAGACGAAGAGATAGGGCTAAATGATAGGATGATTTTACTTCCGTGATTGGTTAACGTGGTATTTGTACTTTAGCCTTAAATTTTGAAGTGACGATTGGGAGTCCACTGACTCAACGTTCTGTTTAAATTAAAAAGTTCATTTATGAGTTTTCTAATATAGCTTTAATGTCTGTGATACAGGGTTCCCATCACTAAGCAGTCAGTTGCGGGCTGCAGCTTGCGCATCTCTGTTCGATCGACTGCCAAATGTGAGCGATGCAGGGTCAAGCGGTCAAGAAGGAAAATCTTCTCCCCTCTCGGCGTCATCATCCGAGTCCCAGAAGTCACCATCAAAGTCGTCTTCCACTCAAAACAGTACGTACAGCCGCTGGAACTCACTTCTTGCATTCTCAAAACACAAGTTTAATAAATAGATGCTTTCGTGGATGATCAGTTAAAATTAGTTCTCAGGGCAAAACGTAGCCCAGCTGATCAAATAAAGAACTACTGGACGTATTTCTACCAAACAGACCTATGTGGAGGTGAGAATTATGGGGTGTGCTCGTTAGTTCTCTGGCCGTAAGAGTGAATGGGAATAATAAAGCGCCAGTGACGTCAGTGGCAATGATCGAGCTGGGGAGCGAGGAGCGCGATCTTCGTCTGGGCGCTTTAACTCATAAGCCCTGTTCACAACGCTCTTTTGCCATGCCCGCGGCTCATGAGTTCCGCATTCAATTGGCACATAGGTCTGTTTGATAGAATGTAATATCCCGCTTTTCCAATTATTCAAAAGGAATCACGCCCACTTTTACATTGCTTCTCATGCAGCTTTCTAGATCACACCCCATGTTTCTCACCTGCACATAGGTCTGTTTGGTAGAAATACGTCCAATTCGAAAAAATCGGAATTCTTTTTCAAAGTGCGAATTTCCTCAAAGGAAGAAGTCTTGTCAGGAGCGACCATTAATATAGCCTTTGATCGACTTCCTGATCTTTGCGGAAGAGATGGGGGGGGGGTAGCGTGGCACCCCCGCGAATTCCGGTACGTTCACAGGAGAACGTGGATCCATTCCTGTCTGGATGGCGCGTCGTGCTCTGCGATGAATCGATTGGTCTGTCATTTAAACGTACGAGAAAGGGTCGCTACGTAACGAAAACCTTAATAATCGATTGTTTACCATAGGTTTGAGTGGGAAAATATCGATATGCGATGATTCACGCTTTGTCACTGGCCTGTCTTCCGGCCCGGGCGCCCGGCTCCCGACCTTTCTTCTCCGGTAGCGCACGATCGGTCTGCGAGCGCCCATGAATACCATCAGCCCGCCTTCCGCGCTCAGGGGGTCTACATTCCACACGGAGAAAAAAACTTCGCGCGTGGGGCCCGAAGTTTAGGTCATATAGATCTCTGAAGTTTTCGGATTGAGCATCTGAACACTTTAGGTCCAGCTGCTGAGGTTTGGATCACATATCTGAAACTTCAGTTCTTACATCTGAAGTACTTCGGTTTTCACATCCGAAAAACTTCGGTTCTCACATCTGAAGTACTTCAGATGTAAGAGCTGAAGTTTTAGATGTGTGATCCGAACCTCGACAGCTAGACCTAAAGTGTTCAGATGCTCAATCCGAAAACTTCAGAGATCCATATGACCGAAACTTCAGATCCCAAGCACGAGGTTTTTTTTCTCCGTGCACCTCCACTGGCACTGTTTTGACTTGAATCGCTCAATCCAAAAATGGCCCAACTAGCAGGGTTTTTTTTCTTAAGGTTCAAAAAAAAAAAAAAACTTTTATTTTTCACGGAAAAAAGACTTAGGGGTTATCCTCTAATATTGTGGTACTTCCTCAAATTAAGTTGCTATATTATTGTGTGTTTTGGCTGATTAAGTTGTCCTGTACCCCAAATACCTTGAATGGTATAGAAATTTTCAATTAATTGTGATAGTACCGCAACATTTGGGTTATGGGGTACTACCATACTTAATTGGGGTCCTATTACAATTAATTGGAAATGTCCATATCATCCAACAACCGCTATCCTGTGTTGTTTACTTTCTGCAAGTTTAGTGGGTATTTGAGTCTGTTCTCTGCAAGTCACTCATGATTTGACTCATGATCTGACGAACACTCGCCATTCGTCAGTAAAGAATTTTAAGATGGTTCTTTAACACTTTGGAGAATGATTCAGTAGTCGAACTATAAATTGATCATTTCCGGATTCTGGGACATTTCTTCAGAATCTCTTAGCATCTTATAATGCGGTAGTAGGTTAAGTATTTGCCCACACAATTTGACCGAGGAACATTTTGAAATAGCTTAACAGTACGTCCTGAATGAATCTAGCAAAAGGATTTATGATATTCACTCGGGTTGTACTTTCGGAGTTATTTTAAAGTGTCTCTTGATCAAAATGCGTGTACAAATATCGGACGCACCATAGCATGATGTGGTTCTGGGATATTCTTAAGAAATTTCCTGAAATCTAGAATATAGACGCATCAAAGTGCTGAAGAACCGTCCAATGAATCAATATCAAATACCTCATATTTGTATAATTGGACTTCATTTTACAATTAGGAACTACAATTTCTGGCTCATCCGTAAAAACACTGATGTACATAGAGAAGCTAATGGTGCATATACGTTAATAATCTGAGCCTGAAATTGTAGTTCCGAGTTGCAAAATGTAGTCCAATCGGACCGCGTTAAGCAGAGAGGAACCCAGCCATATCAGCTACTGCCAAATTCATTTCGGCATGCAGATTAAATTTTAAACATGAAAACGGTCGTGTGTATTTTTGTGCAAATTTTCGTGAATATCCTGTGTAGTGCGAAGCGAATTCCTCAACATTTTCGAAGGAATCCGCGCAAACATTCTCTCGTAAAAAATTAAATTCCCCGGTTTTTGGCAATTGCTGATGTGGCTTAGTTCCTTTCTGCTAAATGCGGTCTAATTATGAATGTATAATATTATCTCTCTTCGACAGCATTCATATCGACGGTGAAACTACCAAACCACGTATCTCGGTTTGCAACGTCGCAGACTTCCTGTCATACTCTATTTTTTAAATGAAAAACTACTCAACGTCCAGTCTTGAAAATTTCTGTGATTTTTCCTCTTTGTGCGGAGAAAATTCTGTGAAAATTTCAAGGAATGATATTGATTTGGTCTACTTCAAAAAAATAAAATGCGAGCGTAGATTTTCAAACACCGCAAACGAGATACGTGGTTTGGTAGTTTCACCGTCGATATGCCATGTGGTGTAGTTAAACAAAGTGGACCTCTTCACTTCGGCTCGGGAGGAGTTTGGTGATATTCTGAGCCCTATTCTGAAAAGTTTTCCCACCGGGATCGGATTTTTGGCCGCTGAATCCTGGACTTCCTCTCGTGCGCGCCGGTGGTTCCCGCGTGATCCCGACATCCCAACTGCTCCTAGGCCCAGCGGTCACCGCCATGCCCACATTTTGATTGTCGCCCCCGCAACTCCCCCCTCACCCCTCCGGCCCGGTAGTTAATTACTCGACCATAAACGCTCTGTTAATTAATTCAATGTCCTCGTCGTTATGTGGAACAACTAACAGTTTTGATCGAATAAATTCGTGCGCGCCCGTCATGACCGTCGCGGCGTCTTCCCTCTTCCTCCACCCAACCCCGCCTCGTCCCCGTATCATGTATTGTGCAGCCGCGCAGGAACTTGACCTATCCGGGGTGTCATTTCAGCCGCCAACCTATAGGGGCAGACCCGTCCCAAGGGATGCAAAAATTGCACACTCGAGCGCCGTTATTTCTTGCATTTCTTTTGTTAATTTAATTTCTCAGATATTCCCATGGTTATTCCTTTTTTCCTTCTGAACCTTTTTCCTCCTCCTTTTCCCCTTTCCTTTTCCTTCTTTTTCCTTTTTTACTTCTTTTTCTGCATTCTCTTTGACATGAAGCGCCGGATAATCAGAAAATCCTGAACGATAATGCCACGGATCCCCAATTTTTTTAATTAAATTCCTCAGAGATACCCATGTTTATTTCTTCATCTCCTTATGAACCTTTTTCTTCTTCCTTTTCTTCTTCTTTTCCTCCGCTTTTTCTTCCTTTTCTCTTATCTTCTCCTATTTCTGATTCTTCCTATTCTCTTATCTTCTCCTATTTCTGATTCTTCCTTTTCTCTTATCTCCTCCTATTTCTACGTCTTCCTTTCTTTTTCCTTTTTTTTCCCGCATTCTTTTTGGCATGACGCGCCCGATTTTCAGAAAATTCTGATCGATAATGTCGCGGATCGCCGATTTTTCGTGAGTTACAGGGAAAGAAGGGATGGGGGTTTTCACTTATTTTTTAAGAGGATTTATTATTTTTAATATTTTGTGAGGGGGAGGGGACGACTCAACGACGTTGCCTGACGTGAAACTGCCATAGAGGTGAATGGTTTTAAAATGGATGAAATATTGTCATTTTTAGGCAGTCTTTAAGGGGGGGGGGCAAAACTTGAGAAAATGTCTCTAAATTGGTCAAAATAAAAAAAAATGTCGAATTCTAGCGGAGGTACGGGCATGAGAGTTGTATTTTTTAACTGCCTTATAAGGGGTACACTTGGTGTTCAGATCAAATTAAATTGAGTAAGTTATAATATTGGATCAAAAAAACCTCCCGGAGTTGGCCAAAAATCGATGATAAGAAAGAAAAAGGAAAAATCCTGGACACCTTGCTTGAGAATTAAAGTAAATGATTTTTCTGAAATTTGGCGAGGAACAATAAATTTGTAATTTCGGAAGAATATTTATGTAATTTTTAGTTGACACTGCCATACTGAGCTCATGGGTTCGTCGCCACGTTGATCTGTAATAAGGAGCCCCGCTGTCGCTATCACGACCGCACGCAACTTTCTTTTTTCTTTTTTGCTGGACAAACTTCGAGGCAGTCGGAGCTTTGCAGAAATAATCAGTTCATTTGCGAAAGGATTCTCAAGTTGGGGATAGTATTTTACGGTGAAAAACGTGTTACCCTGTCGCCGTAGCACAACGAGCTAGCGGTAGCGTCAGACGTACGGACCTGCACTTATTCACTGCCGTGCTAGAGAAGAACGCCGTATGAACATTCAGACGTTGCCAACTTTTCCCCAAGAAAACATTGATTTTTGAGGGATCTCATGAAGGTGTCTCTTCAAGATTATGGGGAACGGTACGAAAGTAGATCGATCGATTGATAAATCCTGGATTGTATGACGTTCCTGAAGAATTTTAGAGCATTAAGCCACGTTGTAGTCTCATGGTAATTTTTACACAGAATTTGACCGAGAAACATATCGAGATGGGCTTTGAAAGTACAATCATATGGGACGTACTTTTGGACCTATTTCAAAGTTTTTATTTTTGTGTGCAAACATCTG